ACTTCACTCGTTTGGTTGCATTCCTCGGTACAATAAGAGGCTTCCGGACTGCTCTGTGGGATTTCAAATTTCCCTTGTTCAGTGTTCTTTGGATGGTCCTAGGACTAACTTGTTTGTCGAACATCTCCTTGATCTCGGTAGATAGCTTTGGAGCACTAAGTGAGGGTGTAACGTTGACTTTGTTGAGCACGTGGCGTACTTCTCGGTGAGCCAAAATCGGTTTTCGACCACTTCTGACCTTGTTTTGGACTGAACCATTAGCTCTAAAGTTCTTAATGATTGTCTGGATGGTTGTCCTTGCTAATTTATACTTGGTCCCTATTTGTCTCTGCGACGGCCCCCCTTTTTGTCCACCCTTCCAGTCCTGAATGACAAGATCTCGAATAGCGATAGGAATTTCCTTGCGTGTCGACGCCATCATATTTTTCTGGAAGAAAATTATTTAAAAATTAATGCGGCATATGTTATTGATAGATTTATTAAGTTACCTGATTTTATAAATTGGAGAGATTTTTGTTGTTGACAATTAAAGTGAAGTGGACGTAGACTTTTGTCCGCTCAAATTTCATCCTCTCTCGCTCTGCACTATGATTCTCAGTTTTCCCAGAATTTTCAGAAATAACTCATATGTTTTATGAAATTACGTTAAATTTGTGAGAATTAGATATATCAATGATGAAAATTGGTTCAGTAGTTCAGTGACAATTTGAAAATGAAATTGACGCGACTATGTGGACGTAGAGATCTGTCCGACACTGTATGTATGTATCTTTTTACATTCATCACTTTTCTCATAATTGGAATTGTGAACCTAACCCGACCAACCAGAGGTACATATTTTGTATGAAAAACGAAACATGTACTCGTACATGTCTGCCTACATTACCACCACATTACTACACGGTAATACTCGATATTACCGAGTCATATACTCCGTCCGGTAATGATTCAATACCAGTTGCCTATGAATGTACCGTATATACTGGTATTGAGCTGGTAGTAGTCTCCTGTGTGGTTAGTTTGTTTCTGACAATGAGTGGTAAATTTTTCATTACCAGAACATTACCAAATGCTCGTTATTACCAAGCCGTAGGTACTCTTGGCATTAATGACTTAATACCAATTTCTTAAGAGAATAAATACAATACATGAAAGTTGAATGATCTAGATGCTGTAATCAAAAATGCGTACAAACTGAAAAAATTTGGACAAGAGGAAACATTTAATTTCGTAATTGTTTTTCACCATACATGAATTTCTTTCGTTATAAATTCCTTTCCTTAGAATTCAACGAATTCAACAACAATATTTTTCTTTTATTGCTGAACATGAGCTAATTTTCGAATCGAAATAGCAACTCGCGAAGAAGGAAACAAGCATACTTATCGTAATAATTTCACATAAATGGATCAGGTACGGAGGTACATACATATGTATTTAATTTAGTGCTTGCTGGGTATTCTAACGCTTATCTACTAAAATAAGGCAAATAACACGAATGAAACTTATCAAGACAAGATTGACAAACATAGAAAAATACGTATCACATGAACATTTGCAAGTAGGTATAATCTCCAGTAATAAATGTGAACAAAACCATAATAAGAATACAGGAAATTCATAGTTTACGTAAATTTCAGTAGGGTAAGGTAATTAAAATTAAACGACATATATATAATTATGGTTTGTGCATTAAAATTAGACCCTTTTTTTAGTTAGAAAAGAGTCAAATTATAAAATACAAAACCGTAAGGTTGACAATGAACATATTTAAATTGCCCAAAAAAACATAATTGGTTATTATTATGCATTGAACTATTCTAATTATGTAGAATCGTTGTTGTTATCATTGACTGGATCTCGTATCCATTTAAATACAGTTAGTTTGACCTATTAGCGAATATGTATTTAACTATCGAATCGATCGAATTAAAGTATTTTTTTGCTAAATATCTACTGAGTTAGTTACAAGGCTAGTTTTGGTGTGTTATTGTTTTTAAAATATATTTTCACAAGGATGTATGTATAATTAGATCAAGTCTTTAGAAATATGAAGGGTTATTTAAGTACAGTGACGGCGGAAGGGTGGGGACGAAGGGACAATGTCCTCATGGTTAGTTGATCTTATATAAACGCCTTCCTCCCCTATCATCCTACAATGGCAATGTCCCCCGATGTCCCCACGGCTTCCGCGGCCACTGTTTATATATTAAGAATTTTAACTCGAGCACTAGAATATGGTTGTGGTTAACTAACTAACTAACTACACAAAATTAATATTGGTCATTCATTTTTTGTAGATAATAATACATAATTCTCTCTTTTTTTCTGTGTGGTACAATGAATGGATATGGATCGTTTATGTATGTAGCTTGTAGTTGATCTAATCTTCTAAAATAATCTAAATAAGGTAATTAATTTTGGGAACGAGAAGGTACAGAACAGCAGTATTTTAGAGAAGCGTGACATTTCACAAAGCATGTCACGTGTGAATTTCAGAGTGTAAAGATTGAGTAAAATCTTCACAAAATTCCGCAGTGATCAAGATAATGACAAATTTCATGGCAAGAATCCAGTTCTCCCATTTTCATAAGACTGGAATTATGTAAATTATTTATAAACATTTTTCGGAAAAGAAAAATGTTTAAATTCTCTGTTTCTTCTAATAACAAGAACAACAACAACAACGCTTTGTACAGATTGAAATGGTTTCGTAAAATAGAGGTAGTTGACAAAATGCTTAACAATTAAGTCTAATTTATAGCTTCTAATTATTTTTTATATAGTGCGCTTAAATCTCACTTTTCAATTGTATAAGTAGCACGAACAATCTGGGACGATAGTTTTGTGCTAACCCCACCAAAATATTGTAAAATAGCAGTGGCCGCGGAAGCGTGGGGACAGGGGGACATTTTTCCTCAAAAACTTCATAAAAATCCTATCCTCCCCATGTTAATAAGCCCCGTCCCTCCCCTATCCTACAATGTTATTAATGTCCCCACATGTCCCCCTAACTTCTGCCGCCACTGATAAATAGTATACCCACTTAACCTTTATACTACTCTAAAATTGCAACATTTTCCATATAATAAAGTAGTGTCTTATTGCTATCAAGTTCTATTGTTCACACAACAATGCAACACCCTCTGTATATACAATCGAGCAGCAAGTAAAACTAGGACACATTTCGCTCAAAAAAGTCAAAGCCGTAATGCATAAAAATTGCAGTGTGCGAATTTGCTGTGACGCGTAAATTTGCAAAATTCTCAAAAAGCTATACATAATCATCACCATATAACTACATATTTACATTTAATAATGAGCAGATAATAAGGTGGCGGAGGAGATGAGATCAAATTACCGAAGGGTTGAAAAGCATGGATTATTAAACAGGAACAAATTCTCAGATCACCAAAATCCAGGGAAGGTGTTTTTCACAATGCGGTGTAGGTTTCAAGTGTAATCATAGGAAAGAAAGTAATTTGTCTTTGTATTTAAATTTTTGAAATTTTAAAATTTTAAAAAATCAACTATTCAAAAGTTATTATGAGAATCAAGGATTCGGAATTATCTCACTGTTCTTTTTTTGTTTCTCTACGTAATAATTTGAGAATTTAGAAAAAATTGAAAATTTTAAGGAATTGAAGGCGCATCATACATCATTACATGAATCATGTTACAATAGCACTACTCCTATTAATACCAACCTGCATAATATGAATAACTGCGGCGATATGGCTCACAAGGGAGGTCTGTCAGGGGATGCGCTCAGATTTTGGGCAAACTAGTGTTAATCGATGGCAAATTTGATTAGTATGAAATTTGCGAAAGACACGATCTCTCAATGGGCACGTTTGGCAGAGATATTTGCATCTGAAGAGGAGAAAACGCACCTTAAATTTCACAAATTTTACACTTTCCAAATTTACTGCCCGTTTTCTCCTCTTCGGATTCTGCAAATATCTCTGCCAAACGTGCCTATTGAGAGATCGTGTCTTTCGTAAATTTCATACTAACTAAATTTGTCATCGATTCACACGAATTTTCCCAAAATCGGAGAGCATCCACCGACCGACTTCCCTTGTGAGTTGAAAACATTACTAAATTCTGAAAATGGACAGTTACATACTTATTTAGCTTTTTAGTTATTACTTGCATATGTACGATCGAAGAGGTCTAGGCATTGGGGGTCGACGACGATATTTTTCATACTGATGATTTTTGTTAGTAGCTGGCATTTCGGTGATCGGTGATTTTATTATTTTTACTTTTCTTGAAGTGGTTGTGGTGGTGGTGAAGATGAAGATTCGTGAAGAAAACAGGCAGCGGTGGTGGTTTGGTGACAGCAATTCTCTTGATTTCTGGTCTTGGCGTGGCGACGATATCATTTATGGCGTTGGTTTTGGTGGCGATATTTCATGGCGACGGCGTTGGTGACGATATACTTCCTGCGACGTGAATATATAATGGCAATTGACTTTGATACTTATTTAGCAATCACAATACTAAAGAAAGAGTGAAATAAATAACTCGCTTGATTAAAGTAAAATGCGATTAGCCAATAATAATGCTAATTTATGCTAATTAGCTAAAACTAAAAACGATTTTTTGGTCATACATGTACATACATACGTATTCACTAACAATTAGTAATTTCAAGAATACTTTGTAACGACGAGGAGAGAGACGGTTCAAGGTAGGACGAGATGACGAACGCTAAAATCAGGACATTTTTAAGCATTTCTCGGTTCTGGGAACTTATTTTAAAATTCTGGACGAGCAGATCGTTGCCAATTTTTTAAAAATATGCACTCCAGATTTTGACATTTTTTGAAGGAGGAGATCTCAAGGTTAAGAATCTTTCAGAAAAACTTAAAACTGGCTAAAAAAAATTCACCACCATTCCATTAATCAACTCACTGACTACAAATTTATCGTCCAGAATTTTAAAATAAATTCCCATATCCGAGAAATGATTAGAAATGTGCTGATTTTGATACTTTTAGTGATGTGTCATCGAATCCTGCCTTAATGACAAATAATAATTGACTCTCTTAATACTCATAATAATAATAAAGATTACTCTATAATTCGAATCTGTATTGCAATTGCGTTGTCTTCATGAATAGTTGAACATCAAAATTATCATCGTTGCTGATAAGAAGTTGTACTCTGCATATTTTTATTATTGATCCGTGTCCACATCAAATGTGGAGGTGGGCGCTGGAGCAGGTGTCGTCCAAGTAGGTGCTGTGGTGATGATGGCTGCCGGAGCAAATGCCCCCAAGACAAGGTTGTAACTGGTTCCCCAGATTGTTCTTAACTTTGGTCCGCACTCGGCCATAATAGTTGGACACGTCATGGATAAGGCTCAGCCGGTTGAACTCGTCCCGTAGTAGGCGGGCACGATCGGCCCGTTTTCTTGCACGATCTGTGGCACGAAAGGTAACAAAAATCATTAAATCGAAGATAACCCATTCGGTCAGTGACGACTTAAAGATGTCCAAATGTCCGAAAAATTGATATCGATAAGACGTGTTCTACCTTATATAACATGGGACACGTCTTAAATACATTTTATTGATATCAATTTTGCGGACATTTGGAGATCTTTAAGATGTGTAAGTCGTTACTGGCCAGTTTGAAAATTCAAAGATATGAAAAGTTCATACATGTCATAAATTTACACAAATTTTCAATAATTTAGTGTCTACTGAACTTTTTACAAAAATAATCATTTTTTTAACTAACAATGGACATGTCCCAGCGTATGCTCCCCAATTTTGAGCAAATTATTTCAATCGATCGCAAAGATTAGTGTGAAATTTGCAAAAGACACAACCTCCCAACGGGCACGTTTGACAGAGATATTTGCATCCCAAGAGGAGAAAGTAGATCATTTGTTAGCTTTAAAGCGCGCTTTCTCCTCTTCGGATGCAAATATCTCGACCAAACGTGCCCATTGGGAGATCGTGTCTGTTACAAATTTCATACTAATTAAAGTTGTGATCGATTGACACTAGGTTGCTCAAAATTGGAGAGAATCCACTGGGAGACCTCCATTGTCAGTAGATATCTCATCTCATGCAAAAAAGGACTAAATATCATGATTCAAATTTCAACCGTGTTTTTCTTCCTACGTACCTTCAGATTTAACCCTCCGGTAAAATTTGTCTCATTTGCTCATACTTTCGGCGATGAGCATGGTAATGACGAGTTCTCTGCGGGCCGCTTGCCTCTCGCTTTCTCGTCGAGGAACCTTTTTGAAGTCGATGATGCCCCCGAGTTGCGATTTGTCTTCGAGCAGATAATCCCCCTTGGCGTCCGCGACGATTATTGCGGAAGGATAATTCTCCCCTTCAGGGTCAACCTCGCTGTCCCCTTCGTCTACACGGGAGGAAATTAATAGTCAAATAAGTAAGCTGTTCAAAGTGCTCCCTAGTGTCACATCTTGTTCCTAAATGTAATCTGATTTTGCGCAACCTGATTTAGTAATGAATTGTAGTGCATGAAATTGGATTACGTAATCCGAAATACGCCGTGTGTAAAGGGCACTCTCTTGGAAAACTGGTATTAAATTATTACTGACCAGAGTACATATGTAACTCTACCCGGGCGGGTAGTAAGGCACATTATTAAGTAGCTTCAGCTACTTTATGCGAAGACTTTGTCCGTCTGTCAGTCTGTCTGTCTGTCTGTCTGTAAGCAGGATAACGGGAGAACGGATTGAGATAATCGAAATCGGTTTTCGACATTATACATAGGACCCCAGGGGGAGGATCCTATCAACTTTTGGGGACAATCGGACCACACCCCTTGGCGCCAGGGGGTGTGGTCGGGATAAAATGAGATTTTTAGTGTAATTTGATCTATAGATGAAACAGAGTGAAATTAAGTGATACCGAGTCGTGCCACACCCACTCTGCCCCAGGGGGTGTGGTCGGGGCAAAATGAAATTTTTACAAAAATTGAATTTATAGATAAAATTAAGTGAAACTGAGTGTTTTCGTGATGTCGTGGGAGTGGTTAGGGTGAAATGAGTCTGAAGCTACTTCCTTATGTGCGTTTACGACGGTTTATTACCGTTTAGTAGTGATGAAAAATTTATCACAACAAAAAACAGGAGAAATAGCATAATTGAGGCACTGATTTTTCAGGGTAAATCATGTTAAAAATGGATTTCGAGTTTTTGATAAGCTCTGATATTTAAAAATGCATTAGTTTTTAAGAGGTGGTACTTCGTGACATGAAATTCATAAATTGGAGATTCATTAAGTAGGTTGGAATTTCTAAGTTGGAACTTTGTAAATTAAAAATTTTATTAAGTGGTAAATTTACCACAAATTGCTACCAATCGGGTAGAAAGTTATTACCAGATCAGTACCAGTACGGGGTAGATACATGACTCTACCAGATTTTTAACACGTAAAATGGAAAAATGAGACGCTCACCTTGTTCACCTTCTTCCTTCTCGAGTTGTCTTTTTTCATGAGCTTTCCTCACTTGGACGATATACCAGATTATTGCCACCTACATTGACATTTTGAGAAAAGAAATGTCTCATTAAACATATACCAATAACAAAGTCTCAAGACCAACCAGTGGCCGCGGAAGGGTGCGGACAGAGGGACAATGTCCCCACGATTGTTCGATGTCCCCATCATCTTATACAAACCCCTCTCTCCCCTATCCTACAAGGTTAATGTCCCCAGATACCCACACAACTTCCGCGGTCACTACTAAAAAATCTCAAAATCTTACCAAAATGACACCGACCAGCATCCCACTCACGAATAGGATAGGACTCTTAACATTATCCCAATCCATGCTCTTTAGTAATCCCAACATTTTTAATTATTTTATGTACTTATTTACTTATTTATATATTTAAATATGTCTCAATTATGTAATTAGATTAATGAATTTCATATGTTTTAGTTACTTATTAAGTATTATCGGATTCCACGCAAAAATGAGAGAATCCCTTCAATTTGTGTGTCTTGTGTATGTGTCTGTCTGTCTGTAATTATGCGACCAGGCCGTAAAAAAATGTATGTAGCAGCACAACCACGACTGAGATTTCTGTAGAATTTAGGTGATCCACCTTTTCTTACTTCCGGTTTAAATCATTCTGAATTATTTATTCCTCAATTTGAGTTTTATTTCTCTCGTATGCAAATATCCTTTCTTGTCATGAGTGTGAGCACCAGTACGAAAGTGAGAAGAAGAGAGACTGAGCCATCTTTTCGAACCGATGCCGTCTTTTAACTTGACTCGGATGATGAAAATTGACAGGAAAATGAGCACTTGTCTGGCAGAGTGGGACATTAAATTATCTAACTAACTATAAATGAAAGTAAAGAAGAAGAAGTTTGAGTGAAAGGCAACCTCATTTTTTTTCGAAATATTATGTTAAACAGTGTATTTTTACATATGTATGTACCCAATTGCTCACGGTATTTGTAACAAGAGCGTCGTCGTCACTGTACAAAGTGATCGCTGCTGGGCGTTAATAATGTCAGCTTTATTACCGGAGAAAGTGACGTGTCGCAACATTTTTCAGATAATGGAAAAATGTACACGTCACGTGACAACGACATAAATGAGGTAAACTTATGTATTTCTGGGAGACGAATATGTCTAAATATGTATGCGGATTTATTAACGGGGACAACTTTCTCCTGGACAAGATTGAGCAGATCGAGTCTATTTTTTAAGGTGTAAGAAAACCACGGATTTATCGTCTTATATATCCTGTCCTTCACCACTCTGTAGTCGCCTCCACCACGTCCGACACACCACTGTACACCACGACCGAGTGCACTTTAGTACTTTACTTTCACTGACTGACTGCCTTGATTTCTCCAGCGAGTAAATGAAACTCCCGCTTGACGCCAGGCCACCAAATATTGATCCGAGATGTTGTAGGGTAGTAGTGTTATAGAACTTGCTACTAGTAACTACATTGCGGAGAGAAGGATGCAGATAAAAGCCCGAAATCGGGAGTGTGTCGTGTTTTTCGGTAGTTTGTAGGGTAGGGTTGGATAGGAAAACCTTGTGTTGGGTTAGAGACTCAAGCTTCTGCAAATCTGCTGCTGGTTTATTTTGGATCAAGTCTTGTTCTCGGTTGGACGTCTAATGTGAGACTAATGGATTATTCTTGACTTTGAGATTCTTTGTATGTACTCCTCTTCCTGCCAGGACGGGTTACTGGTAGGGTTTTGGATGTATGAAGATACCGGATAGGGTTGCATGGCATGTCAGAAAACTAAACAGAGTTTGGCGATAATTGCATGCGAATTTGGGAGAAGTATGGATATCGATGGATGGATGAGGATGCTGTGTACATGAGCAGTGGCCGCGGAAGGGTGTGGACAGAGGGGCAATGTCCCCACGGTTGTTCGATGTCCGCATCATCTCCCATCTTATATGAACCCTATCCTACAATCATACCTGTTCACTTTCATTCATTTGAGTGATTATGATGCTGAGTGATAGTGAATGAAAATGAATTTTCTGTGATTTGAGTGAAAATGATTGAAGGATTCCGTCATTTCAGATGAATGAAAGATTTCATACTAATTTCATTTTTCATCCTATGCTTAATACATGGAGTGAAGTAAGGAATGAAGTCAGATGAAGTGAAATGAAATGAATTTGAACGAAAATGACTGAATGTGAATGAAAATCTTCAGTCAGAAATTGGGATGACTGACTTTTGAATGAAAACTGAATTTTTGAACAGGTATTGTCCGCACGACCACTGGTTATCTGTCCATGTTATATAAACCCCTCCCTCCCCCATCCTACAATGTTAATGTCCCCACATATCCCCACAGCTTCCGCGGCCACTGACTGCGTGTACATGATACGTGTAAGATGAGATAGCTTGTTACGGGAGAAAGCTAGCTTAGCGGAGAAAGTGCATAATGGAGAAAGTAAACGAAACGAGAGGTGATAAGAAGACGACGGTTAATTGAAGTATCAGTTACAAACGACCCGTGGAATGGAACTTATTTACTCGTGTGGTGATGTGATACGAATCGAAATTCAATATTGCCCTTTTCCATCATTTTTCTTGCTCAATTCCCATCAATTCATTGCGTTTTTTGGCTTCGTCATGACTTCGTGGCATGGCTGACAAGAAGCCACGCAAAAAGATGTTAGATTGAAATTCGATAATATCTGCGGATCGAATGTCTACTTGGAAAGCATGTAAACTGGACTTGTGTATTTTTTTAGGAGAAAGTTACACTCTTAAAAATCCGGTATTAAACTAATACCAAAGCGGTATTCATGTATGCAGGACTCTACCAAATTGAAATTAATTAGTGTATTTATTAACTACTGCTACAGCCGATATTAATAGTCTGAAAAAAATCTGAAAGGTTTCCTGGCAGATATTTCATAAAACCAAATAACCTCTCAGAAAAATTTCCAAGGAATTGAGACTATTAAATTGGCTGAAAAGTAAAGTTTTACCAGTTCGGTAGCAAATCTTTTCGGACTTGTGTAAATAATTTTAATACCAAACGGTAGCAAAACTTTACTACCGAGAAATCAATACCTAACTAATTTCTAACAGTGTATGCATGCGGCTATAGATTTACTTAATGGATAGTGTAGATTTTTGGTGGTTTCATGTTGGCGTGGTGGTTTTACTTTCTTCTTTTTTTGCTGACAAAGGAGGCAGGCAGGCAGGCAGGCAAGTAGTACAACAAAAACGAAATAGACATTGACTAAGCAAAGTGTTTGCGAGTCATGTATTTTGTTGGGATGTCTGTTGTTCATCGATTAGCTTGCCGGCAGCAGCAGAAGAGCATCAAGTCCGCTAAAACGATTAGGAATTGGGCCTTCTCTTCTTCTATGGAAAATCAGTGGCCGCGGAAGGTGTGGGGACATCGGGGGACATTACCACTGTAGGATCGGGGAGGAAGGGGTTTATACGTATAAGATGGAGAGATGATGGGGACATCGAACAACCGTGGGGAAATTGCACAACTTCCGCGGCCACTGTACGTACGTAGGTTGGAGAAAATCCAGTTTTAACCTTTAGATGGGTGGACGTGGATGTGGACGTGGGCCGCAATGGGTCACGGATTAAATTGGAAAATTGATGATGATTAGAGATCAAATCTAGTATAAGTCATTACTTCGTAATGATGGAAAGTGGAGGTGAAATTTATTTCTTTTATTTATTGGGTCAGATACCAGCAGAATATTGACGATAGTAATTTGGCCGTTTAATCATTAACATTTCATAGGTGTGGTGCGGTTAGGCTGGACCAATTCTCGTAAATTCTCATATTTATCATCGTGTATAAATGAATGATTGCTACTAAATTATATTTACTGATGGTTTGAGGAATGAGTTAATATTATATTTACGAAGATCTTTAAACCATACGTACTCTGCTAATCTCACGGGAATGAAGGGTAGATAATAAAGATTAGAAATATTAATCTCTGGGGAATGGACAGGTTTTGTATCTTTGATTAACTCTTAATCTCAATTTCCCCAGCGAATACTAATCCATGAACAAACGAGAAATGATTGACTTTCACACTTTTTAAGACCAGTGGCCGCGGAAGCGTGGGGACAGAAGAAAAATATATTTTTACAAGTGTGTATAATTAGATCAAGTCTTTAGAAGTATGAAGGGCTACTTATGTGCAGTGGCCGCGGAAGGGTGCAGACAGAGGGACAATATCCCCATCATCTGCACATGTTATATATATACCCGTCCCTCCCCTATCCTACAGTGTTAATGTTCCCACATGTCCCCACAGCTTCCGCGGCCACTGTTTGCGACTTTACATGCATACATCGTTACCTCTTTTTCTTGTTGACGCAACGATCCACTTTCCCCACTGAAACTGGTTTATTGTACTCAGCCTCCTTATCACGATGACCTGTAAAGAAAGCAGGCCGAGAATTATACTCTAAAAGCTATTTATATGTGGAAATTTGAGTGCGGAAAAGTAATTTAGTGTTATCCACGAATTTATTTTATGACTTTGCCCAAAATGGATGGAGATGTAAAAACTCGGTCGCTGTAAAATAGAGTATTTACCAAATTACGAGTACCCACCCGGAGGAGGTTATGACCAAGTAAAAGGGGAAAAGTCATAAAGTGTAACGTATATAAATACACAAGGCTTGTATGTACTGACGATGGAGATGTTCCAGCGTATGCTCTCCGATTTAGCAAACTGGTGTCAATCAATCAGAAATTTGATTCATAAGAACTTTGAAATTCATACCTGTTCAAAAATGAATTTTTATTCAAAAGTCAGTCATCCCGATTTCTGATTGAAGATTTTTATTCACATTCAGTCATTTTCGTTCAAATTCATTTCACTTCATCGGACTTCATTTTTTATTTCTCACATATATTAAGCATATCGTGAAAAATGAAAAGAGTGAAAAATCCTTTCATTCACAGTCATTCATATGAAATGAGGAATACTTCATGTTCATGTCATGTTCATTCAAATGACAGGAAATACATTTCCATTCATTATCATAATCGGTCAAATGAATGAATGTAAACAGGTTTGAAATAGACACGATCTCTTAATTGGTCCGTTTGGCTGAGATATTTGCATCCGAAGAGGAGAAAGCGCGCCTTAAAGTCGACAAATTTTCCAATTTCCAATTTTACTCGGCATTTTCTCCTCTTCGGGTGCCAAACGTGCCCATTTGGAGATCGTGTCTTTCCCAAATTTCATACTAATTAAATTTGCAATCAATTGACACTAATTTGCCCAAAATCTGACCGCATACGCTGTTCGACCTCCATTCCGAATTTGCTAAATCATCCTTCTTTACATACATATCGTTACGAATTAATGTTATACAGTGTCGGACAGATGTCTACGTCCACATAGTCGCGCCAATTTCATTTTCAAATTGTCACTGAACTACTGAACCAATTTTCATCATTGATATATCAAATTCTCACAAATTTAACGTAATTTCATAGCACATTATTAGTTTTCCGCTAAAAAATTTATTTTAGGCCAGAGATGTATTTTAATTCAAAATGAAAACAATTGGATGGACAAAAGTCAACGTCCAGTAAGAGAAAACATACAAAAAAAACTGTAATTTATAAGGAATGTTATAACAATTAATTTTTAATATTTGGTTGGGCCTCCGTTCGCTTTAAGGACGGCTTCAAGGCGTCGAGTCATAGAGTTTACCAAATTCTTGGTCACATCTTCAGAAATGGTTTCCCAAACTTCACGAATTCTGGATTTAAGGCCCTGAATTCCTGAAAAAGATTGTTTTCTTATTTCTCTTTCAATGTGGTCCCACAGATGCTCAATGGGATTCAAGTCTGGAGATTGGGGAGGCCATTCTAGCTTCGAAATTTTTTTTTCTTGAAGTATTCCATGGTGTACGTGGCAGAGTGTTTCGGATCGTTGTCTTGTTGGAAGACAAATCGTCGTCCAAGTCCAAGTTTTCGAACAGATTCCTGGATATTACGGTCAAGTATTCCCTGGTACCTGTATTGGTCCATAATTCCGTCAACAAATTCCATTTTTCCTGCCCCACTTGAAGCCATGCATCCCCACACCATTACCGACCCGCCGCCGTGCTTAACTGTGGGGTTGAGATTTTTTGGATTCAAAGCTTCTTTTGGATACCTCCACACTCTACGACGCCCATCTGACCCAAAGACATTGAACTTTGACTCGTCAGTCCATAAAATATGTCCCAGAATGTTTGTGGCTTGGAAATGTGGTCTCTGGCAAACTTCACTCGTTTGGTTGCATTCCTCGGTACAATAAGAGGCTTCCGGACTGCTCTGTGGGATTTCAAATTTCCCTTGTTCAGTGTTCTTTGGATGGTCCTAGGACTAACTTGTTTGTCGAACATCTCCTTGATCTCGGTAGATAGCTTTGGAGCACTAAGTGAGGGTGTAACGTTGACTTTGTTGAGCACGTGGCGTACTTCTCGGTGAGCCAAAATGGGTTTTCGACCACTTCTGACCTTGTTTTGGACTGAACCATTAGCTTTAAAGTTCTTAATGATTGTCTGGATGGTTGTCCTTGCTAATTTATACTTGGTCCATATTTGTCTCTGCGACAGCCCCCTTTTTGTCCACCCTTCCAGTCCTGAATGACAAGATCTCGAATAGCGATAGGAATTTCCTTGTGTGTCGACGCCATCATATTTTTCTGGAAGAAAATTATTTAAAAATTAATGCGGCATATGTTATTGATAGATTTATTAAGTTACCTGATTTTATAAATTGGAGAGATTTTTGTTGTTGACAATTAAAGTGAAGTGGACGTAGACTTTTGTCCGCTCAAATTTCATCCTCTCTCGCTCTGCACTATGATTCTCAGTTTTCCCAGAATTTTCAGAAATAACTCATATGTTTTATGAAATTACGTTAAATTTCTGAGAATTTGATATATCAATGATGAAAATTGGTTCAGTAGTTCAGTGACAATTTGAAAATGAAATTGACGCGACTATGTGGACGTAGACATCTGTCCGACACTGTACATGCATATGTGGAATGTTTATTGAGCGAGCGAGTTATGGTTGGTTGGCTGGCTAAAAGGCGAATTGGTAAGCTTCACTGGAGAAAATGGGAGCCGTTCATTATTCATGGTTCGACATGCGTATGCTATTCATTTACTGACGAAATGCTATTCGACACACCCACATTTCTCGAGGGTTTTTGTTCTTTTTGTTCCTTTTTAATATATGCATGCAGAGAATTGAGTTTTAGTATGATGCATATTAATTGCTTCTTGCATTATAAATATGTTTGGTAGCCAGTGGCCGCGGAAGCCGTGGGGACATTGTCATTGTAGGATGGGGGAGGGAGGGGTTTGTATGATATGGGCAGATGATGGGGACATCGAACAACCGTGGGGACATTGCCCCTCTGCCCACACCCTTCGGCCACTGGTGGTAGCTATTTTGAATGAAAAGTGTAGCTTGCGTGCAAGAAAGTTTAATCTCGTTAAAGCTCCACATATGTGAAACAGTGGCCGCGGAAGAGTTGGGGACAGAGGGACAATGACCCCCATGGTAATCTTATATAAACCCCTCCCTCCCCCCATCCTACAATGTTAATGTCCCCACAGCTTCCGCGGCCACTAATGTAAAATACATGGAGAAGGAAGTAAAAAGGAACACAAAAAGGCTTAGAATGCATGCATGCATAGTTTGCTAATTTGATGTCGAAGTGAGATTAGGAAAGCTTGCGAAAAAAATTGCAAACAACAACCAACTTCTTCTGGCAAACACATGGCTTATCTGGTCTCTTCCTTCACCCACGCACGGTTAACTATGTAACAAAGTCATTGTGTATGTGTAGATATTTTTATTTTATTTGAAGCCTGTTCACTGTTTATAAAGCAGGTTCGATACAGTTTATGTATGCAAATACGTACAAAAAAATGTTACCTTTAACGAGTGTCTGTTCTTTTCGGACAAAAAAATACTCTCGTCAGCCAAGTTTGTAATGCTCGGAAGACAAAAAATAAGGAAGTTCCAGACTCAAAGAAACAAACGATCGGCATTGTTTAATTATCTAACAAGTTTATAAATACCGTATTTATTTCAGCACTTTGATTATGTTGTACAAATAAATTCTGTAAGTTCCTGTTTGCATAATACTTTAATTTCTGTAAATTTTTGTAGATTTTTTTTTACTTTTTCCTTTTTGAACGGATACACTCGTCGTAGGATGGTGGAGGGTCGTTATCGTCGTGATTTTGTGCCAATTCAGAGTTTGATGAGGAATATGACATCGGGTCGTCACTTCGGATGTCAGGTTCGTTGAGGCGTACAAAATTTGAGGAGGGGGACGACTTAAACGTCTCATGTGAGGAAGACGTATGCCGTTTTTTTGACGTATCACCTAAATATTTTGAGGGACAATTTTAGTAACATTTGTAACAGGAATGTGTTACGGAGATCAGTGGCCGCGGAACCAGTGAGGACATCTTGGGGACACTAGCATTGTAGAGGAGGGGTTTATATAAGATGGGGAAATCGAATAACCGTGGGACATTGTCCCTTTTGTCCACACCCTTCCGCAGCCAGTGCTTGTCGATCTGGATGGATAATGTCTCACTCGAGCACTGAGTCAGTGGCCGCGGAAGCCGTGGGGACATTAACATTGTAGGATAGGGGAGGGTAGGGTTTATATAAGATGGGAAGATGATGTGGACATCGAAAAACCGTGGAGACATTGTTCCCCTGCCCCCCACCCTTCCGCGGTCACTGATTGCGGAGATTATTTATACTCGAAATATTGTTAGGAAAATGAAAAATGCGGAGATTGGACGATGACTAATGAGCTCCTTGAACAGTAAACATTCGCATTTTTCTCACTTTGTTTTTTGGACTTGATCCGAGATTTCCTGCTTCGATTCTTCCAAGTGCAGAACCGTTCGGAAATGCATTCCCCAATATATTCGCAATTACACAGGAGGAATGAGATGATCAGGATGAGCCCAATCTAAAATAAGTACATAGCAGAGATTAATTTCCTGTGACACGGATGTATGTACATAAATTAATTACACAATACAATTACACACACACTATTTTTAGCACATTGTAAAAAATATAAAGGTAACCGTCTTGGTCGACTTGATGTTACGTATTTGACAAATATTTGTATTCTCGTTTCTCTACGAGCGTAAATAAACCGTGTCAAACGAGCATAAAAAAGTAGCGTCAGTACAGTAAAATGTAAAATAGCATAACGCCACATGAACATTTTTTAATTTGTGACCTTTGACCTCGCCATAGGTGACAGGTCGGAGGTCAAAAATTCGTGGTGAAATTCCCTTTAAAACAACACCTCATTTGAAACTTGAAGTCCAATTTGGTGTTTCACCGCACGCCTGGGACCCCATTTTAGAACTTATCTGAGGGTCAAAAATGGTGACAACCACATTTGACTATAATGAACTGTTCTGGAAATATTGTTACCCACAGACGGACGGACGGACAAAATGATAACATAAAGCAGCTAATAAAGGATTGTGTAAGGAATGCGTTATAAAATGAGTAGAAAATAGATTTATTTACTTACCATCGTGCATGGAAGAAGAGTTAAGCCCGCTCGTAAGATTGTGTCGTACATCCTTAATTACCGTTCAGAGAGTCAGACCTGAAATATTTGAAAGTGTATGTCACACTATGTTATATATGTAACTGCACTACAAAACCAATGAATCGTAACATTGCCAAAAATACTTAAAACATATACATTTATTCATTATATAGACTCCTTTAAACAAGGTTTCTTTTCTCTCTCTTCACGAAGACAAATTGGAAACTTGGTCTTGACTCGAATCCTTGGATTGGTTTTCAGTCCCTGAACCAACATCATTATTTATTTTGATAGGAAACGTGAAAACTCAACTTCAGAACAGTTAACAGTTAACAGAGAAAGAAGCACAATAAAAGAAAATTGAGAATGTATGAGTGTTCTTTTCTCGTGTGGGCGTTAGTTTACGATAAAATCAACACCGTCACAGTGGCCGCGGAAGTGTGTGGACGGAGGGGCAATATGTCCCCCCGGTTATTCGATGTCGCCATCATCTCCCCATCTTATATAAACCCTCCCTCCCCCATCCTTCAATGTTAATGTCCCCCCATGTCCCCACGCCTTCCGCGGCCACTGTTGTTCGGATATTGGCAAGATATTTGCCCTAATTGTTTCACGCAGAGAGAGATATTTGTATGAGCTGTGACGTTTAGAAAAAAAAAAAAAAAAAAAAACCTTTATTACAACCACTGGACCCCACGAATGGGCCATTACCCAGGGAGGGAGAAGAGTACCTGAGCTTGGCAGTGGGGAAAAACGAGAAAAACCCACTGCAGGCACTAGGACTTGAACCCAGCACCTCCATTCAGCCCACTCAGGTGGACGGTAAGCAGGACGGCATTTCTGCCACTCCGCCTCGTCACCCTTCTCAAGAGAAAAGGCCAGGTTGTGGTTTGATGACGACACTCAACTGATAAAAAATGGTGCAACTGATGATTCAATAACCTAATTAACAATAACTACTTACCATTAGAGAATTAATTTTGTCGATTCTCGAACACTTTGATAAATACAAGAAATATTAAGAAATTTAGTCCTCCCTCCCGGAAAAGTTCGGATCCTGTAACTACATACCGGGTACTATGTACATATCACTACCCGGGTCTTTAGTCGGGTAGTACCCGTGCGAGTTGTACGTATGTACATATGTATCCAAAAGTAGTGAAAGTTTCCAACTTCGAAGGTCGCCTGCATAAATAAGTACCTAGCATTCTGACAAAGTTGAAGTTTTGACATTTTCATGGCACGAATATTTTAGCAGTGATGGCCTTGAACAAGAATAAATCTAGTAATGACATAACTAATTACAAAAAATGCAACGACTTGTCATTGATAATGCTACGCCAGCAGTATCCGTTCCGATCTATAGCATCACAATCTTATCTGAAAACATGTAATGATTTAACGAGGATTGATTTGTCATGCTTATCCGCCTCGCTGTGTGCGTTATTCCCATTGTAATCTTATCAAACTTGTGGTTAAGGTCATTTTGCAAATACATATCTAAATATTTCATATGGCAAACATTTGCATATTACCAGAGGTGGGTAAAAAATGTACTTTGTCAAAATACAATATTTTGAGCAATATTCTTCCCAGGGTTGTTAAAGACGAAAATCTACGTGGATAAGATAACACTGTTATCATAACAGTCACACGAAAATTCTGGTTTTGTGAAGAAATTAATTTTTTATCGGTGACAAAATACATTTTGTTTTCATACATTTTTGAATTTTGACAGCGATGAAAAGTTAATTTCTTCACAAAACCCGTATTTTTTTCTTACCACTGTTGTCTTCTCCATGCAGATTTTCGTCTTTTTGTGGGTGTAACAGCCCCGAAAATCCACACCTGGAGATCAAAACACGCGAAGTATTTTGCCCACCTCTGCATAATTACTCACCTTCAAATCTATGCAGGTTGGGTGATCATCACATCCCACATACCTATTAGCAAGCAACAATAGCTCGTATGTTCAAGTGTCATTTACTTGACATCACTTGCACACCCTCCGAATCAGGAAAAGTAATTAAATAATTTCCCCTTCAAAATGGACTCCGTCTTAGCAAATTCTCAAGCCCATTTGGCCCACAAACAACGCGAACTCGCCAAACTGACGGAGTTTCAACTTCCACAAAACCCCCATTTAAACCTTGGCGAGAAACATCATTCCCACGAGGCGGAAGAGTTATTCAAGATTACGAGAGACTTGAAAAATGAGTTGGACAACAGGGTCCCACTTTCCGATCCGGTGGCGCAAATTCAGCAGAAAAAGATCCAGCTGCTCATCGCCGAGCGGCAATACACGGTGGCCGAGGGACAAATAAGGATCATTCAGGGGCACATTTTGAGCGGGATGGACCCTTCGAGAAGTGCGTTGAGTCGCACGTCGGACATGAAGACGACGGACGAAATGCAGAAGCAGGCGCAACCCTTGTTAACCGAGGCGGCCGAGTTGCTCAAGAAGGCGCGGCATTCCGTGACCTTTGCGGAGTTGGGGGCAAGGCAGAGGATGGGGAATATTATTAGGGAGCATCACCAGCAAAAACAGAAGCAGCAGCAGTATAGAGATAGTCATTGTGAGTGGGGGATAATTAATTTGAGCATTTTGGGGAGATGCATTAAGGTTTTTTGGGGGGATAAAGTTGTGAATTTTTAGGGCTTATGTAGCCGGAATGGTTGTCTGTCTGTCGGTGTATCGATTACACTTGCAAAATTTATCCAATCGATTTGAAATTTTGCAAATACGTAGAATATGCAAAATTATGAATCAAGTTCGAAGATGAATTTCTAGCCCGAGTCAGGGCTTATGTACTCGGGATGGTTGTATGTCTGTCTATCGATTACACTCGTAAAATTTGTCCAATCGATTTGAAATTTTGTACAAACGTAGAATTTGCAAAATTAGGAATGAAGCTCGAAAACGAGCAAAATGTGTGCAAAAATAGTAAAGTTGCAGTGGTTGTATTATGTACGTATATCCACCTCAATTATTGGTAACAACTTGACTCGGGCTAAATAAGGCTGCATTGTGGATATACGAGTCTTAATCAGTTTTCCCGTAAACTCAATGTTAAATTTTTTAAATTCGCTGCCTTTACCCAAAAATTCATAACTTTATTTTTTAAAAACATACCGTAGAGCACTCTACAAGATGTTAAAATGATGAAATATTTCCATTTTGAAATAATTTCTTGTTAAATTATTAGATGGGAGAAACCAAGACGAGGAGGAGGACGAGGTGGACCGAGCCATACCGGAAGTTAGGCCACAAAGTCCGGTCCAACAATCCCCCCCATCCCCACCACCATACAGTCCACAACCACAACAGGATAACGCTCCACCGCCAGTCACCCATTACCAAGAGGAAGCCCCCCGAACCCCGGTGGTGGGGGCGTATGGAAACGAACAACAAATAGTTTACCCTTCAGAACCACAAGTTTTTCAAAAACAGAAAAAATCCGGAGGAAACCGGTGCTGCATAATTGGCTTCATTGTTTTCGTAGTGATCGCCTTGTTAGTAGGAGGAGGCATTTATGCGCTGTATCACTTTGACGTTATTCAATTTTAGACGCTATTTTGATAAGGTAGGAGTCGATGACTTATCACCAGAATCAGCAAATTTTCGAATTGTTCCTCGGCTCTGGGAATTAATTTTAAAATTCTGGACGACTAATTTGTAGTCATTGAGTTTCAAAAAGTGTCAAAATTTGGGGTACATATTTAAAAAAATTGGCCCCGACCTACTCTACAAATTTGTCGTCCAGAATTTTAAATTAAATTCCCAGAGCGGAGAAATGATTTAAAATGTGCTGATTTTGACGATGATTCATCGACTCCTATGTTTCCGTTTGTTTTTCAGATGCAAATTTATTACGTGCGCGTACCTTTATCAAGTACTTTGCTGATTAATACTTGTTAATTTTCGTATACTTATCTGAATATTGATTGTAAATACAGTATTGTACATAATTTGAGTAAGCTCGGTCCAGAGACTTGTAAATATAGATATTTATATGTGAACATATAGAATCGTTATTATAATCCTTTGTTGTAATACACTTTTGTGGGCGGATTCGCCATTGCTTTCAGTTTTTCCTACGCAGAAATAAAAAAATAATTTTACTTTAGTCTCCTCACTTTAGAAAACAGTGGCCGCGGAAGCGTGGGGACAGGGGGAGATTGCCCCCCCCCTAGAAATTAAAAAATATTCTGCTAATAAGCCCCTCTTATCTCAAAATGATAATGTCCACATATTTCCCCCATTACCGCCGCCACTGTTAGAAAATTTAATAAAATTCTAGTCAAATTTCTAATTAATTTACCTGTAATTCTGGCTCCAGCCATGACACCGAGATGGACGAGATTTGTGGGAAAATAGCACAGCAGAATGGCGTAGAAAAAGTCAGGATGGCTCCACACGCGGCGACCTGAAACGGCAGGGGGAATCTGGGGTACCGCTTGAGGAAGCCGGACCTCTCCAAGCGATTCATGAACAATGGAATGGTCACTGGACACCAGATGAATAATTTAAGAATTTAGGTGTTATTAATCAGACAATTAGTTTAAAAGCAGTGTTGTTAATCACAGTGGCCGCGGAAGCCGTGGGGACAAGTGGGGACATTAACAATTTAGAATGGGAGAAGGAGGGGTTTATATAACATGGGGACATCGAATAACCGTGAGGACATTGTCCCTCCGAGTCCCCACCCTGCCGCGGCCACTGATTAACCAACCCATTGAAGGGACTGCCATCAAGATACGAGAAAGTACGACTTGAGAAATCCCAATTTTCGCCGTTGTGCTCGAATAGCCCAAAGTAACACCGTTCGCGTCCATGATTTTCATTCCGTGTTTGATCTCACTGGAAGAATCAGTTTAAAAAATAGAAGTCAGTTCTTTAAAACGTATCAGAAATTCAATGAAACGGGCGAATTTATACTTTTGCCTGGATAATGGTAGATTCACTGCATTTGCGGCTATGCAAAAATGGAAATAATGGAATATGAATTATTCATATTTTGATGCATATGTTTCCGATCATTTTTCTGAAAATAGTACAATTTTTAAATTCATACCTGCTATTGCGGTAAAAGGCACTAGGCGCCCCACAACTGGAGGAAATCTCTGTATAAATTGCACATCAGAAAAACCTGCCATTCTTAAAATATTTGCACAACTTGTAAATTCTCCATATAAAATATTCGAAACGTGCATGTGCCATTTGGTTGAGGGAAACCGCTGTGAAAATTGCACCGGAAGTGGCAGCCGCGTAAGTTTTCATAATTTGGCTACAGCATAAAAATTGCAAAATCAATGAAGCAAAAATAATCAAATGATGTAAACCCAATAAAAAAAAACCCACGAATTTCCGAGCTCTTCAGTACCGCTCCGGTTGCAATAATTGACCTGCAATAAGGATTTCCAGTAATGTACCCAAAATATCGACATTGCTTCTGCTAACGTTATGCATAAATGCATACATAATTGCAATAATATTACCATCGCATTGAACGACTGGTTGAACCACTGCCAAAACAGGATGGCTGGAAGCGTCCTAAAATTCAGGCAAATGTGTGTATTTTGTACAATACTTGATCTAATATCGATATTTCCACCGACAACGGAGCTCTCCCAGCGGATGCTCTCCGATTTTGAACAAATTAGTGTCAAGGGATGACAAATTTGATTAGTATGAAATTCGCAAAAGGCACGATCTCCCAATGGGCACGTTTGGCAGAGATATTTGCAGAATCCGAAGAGGAGAAAGTGCGCAGTAAATTTGCAAAATGTAAAATTTGTCAACTTTAAAGCGTGTTTTCTCCTCTTCGGATGCAAATATCTCTGCCAAACGTGCCGATTATGAGATTGTGTCTTTCGCAAATTTAACGTTAGCTAAATTTGTGATCGATAAGCACAAATATTTGCATCCGAAGAGGCAAAAACACGCCCTAAAGTTGACAAATTGTCTACTTTCCAAATTTACTGCGCATTTTCACCTCTTGGGATGCAAATATCTCTGCCAAACGTGCCCATTGGGAGATCGTGTCTTTCCCAAATTTCATACCACTTAAATTTGTCATCGATTTCCACTAATTTAGTCAAAATCTGAGTACATACGCTTGGACACCCCCATTCCACGTAGTTAATCCTCTTATCAAATTCATACTTGTAGAAGGTGAGCATAAATCCGGTAATGAGCATGTTCATCGGAGCCTGGGCTGACATTCTCCCCAGGATGAAAGTCTTTTCTCCCGTGTCCGGGTGAAATGCGGAGTCGTAAATGTACTTTTGCTTCCAAAGTTCGTCCTCGTCCAGGTTTGCGATGTTTTCCCCATTTCGGTACCGAGTCACGATGTCCTTCGCGTAGTCGAGCTCTTTGTCCGTGTAGAGGATGTTTAGGGGATTAGTTTTCACCCAGAAGTGACGCACTCGACCCCAGTAAGTGGACTGATCCCAGCGTGGCTTGTCTATTTCGATCCTTTTCGTCTTCTCGAATTGGCTAATTATAGACGCCACTTTTTTCTCGAGGTCTTCGCTGAGTGTCATTATTATTAATTAATGACCGAACTTTAGTTTCAAAACTGGGGGGTGTAATGTTTTATGATAATGGTGCAATTAAAAAATATTAATTATGAAAATTTGCATGTTTTTTTTAAATAATTGGTCATCAACGAGTTATTAGTGAGCCCTAGGAAACGTGTGCGAAATTTGCATAAATTTAAGTTCTTTGCATTTGCATAGTCATAGTTGAGGTAAATTTTTAAAATATAGCATGCAAGATTAAATTTCGATGAAATAATTCAGGATTATTTTTATGCAAATGTTGCCATTTTAGATTATGTCTATAACTAAAGTGTGTCGTTCGCTAGCTAAAATTTTTAGTACATAATTTATTTAATATTACCATTGCAGTGATTCGGTAGTCAATGGAAGTTTTAATTGAGATAAGTAAAGTTGAAGGCCTACTAAGGAAGATGCAAAACTGGGAAAATTTGACAACTTGATTAATTATGAATAATTATCAATAAAGATAAGCACTACAAAGTTATCTGGTCTGCTTATTAATTTCCACCGTCAAGTTTATGTACATTTGCAAAAATTTGTATTTACATAAAATATGCATTACGTGATAAAATTGGTGTATATTTTTTTATTGTAGGTATTATTATATCAATATTATTATTTTTTTGAAACATACATAAGTACTGAGGGTCAGGCGAGATTATAGAGCCTGTCGAAAACTACTAATCTTTGGGCGAAATATTCGTTGATGGATATTTTGAATGATTTCATCGTATTCCTCATCCTTTTCTCATGAGGAGTGAAGTTATAATTTCCAAAAAGCCGAGCTTTTAAAGCCGGCAGCAGATTTTCTTTGAACCACTGTTCATTTAAAAGTTTGCAAAATGCATAAAAAAAATTTTATGTCCATTTGAAAAAAGTGTCGATCTGAAGTTTCAAATCTAAATTAAAGCACTGGAGCACATAACCGGACGTAACTAGTTTATCTTTATGCAAAATAATTTAAATTCCTAATAATAAAAAAAGAATGGCTGCGAAATGGGTGGTAATCCGAGCGTTGTCTGAGAAAAAGTTTCGCGTCGACCTCATATCTTCTGATCCTCGCTGAAGTTGTGCATATCTTGGTGAATAATTCAGTTCAGTGTACGCCCAGCGACCTGACACTTCGTGGCCAGTTGATTTTGTATTGATAAAAACATTATTGCCTTGTCCACATCAATTTTTCTCACGAGCGTCGGGTTTCTTACATTCTGGGGAGGATGCGTTCGACGGGTGTGGCGCCGTCAAATTTCTTGCCTGGTTCCTTTTTTCAACTGAATCCTTTATTTTAGACATTGGGCCATTAGAAATGATAATGTTTTCATCCTCGAGTTGGTTTAGTATTTTTTTGTACGTCGTTATTGCTTGGCAAACTGTTTTAACAGCATGAAGCTCTTTGGGGTCCATTTTTGGACCCGTTTTCAAAATTTCGAAATTGAGCTTTTGGGTCACGGCGCAGCTTGAACCAAGCTTCCAGAAAAGTTTTGAATATTTGGAATTAGCGCCATTGTTTAGCGCATATGGGCAAAAAGCGATAGGTTCTATAATCTCGCCTAACCCTCAGTACAGTCACAAATTTTGTGTAATCACTAATCTCACCATAATTAAATAAACTTGAGAATTATTGCATTTGTGAAAAATTTCTTGCTTATATATTTCGCAAAAACAAAGCTAACCTACACGACAGAGAAAAAAAAGTAATTTCTTTCTGCAAAACGAACTACAAATCAAACTAACAATGCGATGGTGTGAAGTGTAACCCTCCGATTTGGTTGAAGTTTTAAAATTATGTGGTATACGTGGGTGTTTTATTATTGATTTTCAAAAGGTATGTTCCGCACTTTTTCTGACCAAACTTTTGATGAAATAACAAACTTCAAATACATTTAGGATGCTGTGATTTTTTTCAGTTCTGTAGGTTAACATTAACACTAGCAATAGCTCATCAAAATTTACCTCGAAAATATGCCAAAATTTACGACTTGATTTCATTATCATCAGAAAACCGTTTCCCCCTGATGTCCTTCTTTAAGTTTCGAAACGAATAATAATCACCAAGGGTCATGTCTGAACTGTACGGGAGGTGGTTTATGACGGCGAAGCAATTTCCGTCTGCAGCAGTCCTCGCAAAATGCCAGGTATGAGGTGGCGCTTTGGCGTGCTAAAAATGCACCAACTCTTTTTTTTTGACCCCACGTTTTCTTCAACCACAGCACACAGCTCCTTCGGGATTCCTGCATAGGCTGTCCCATTTATCATAGTATTTCTACCAATAAATGTTATAAGGAAGGGACCTTTGGTGTCCTTGAAAATGGGAATCATCAATGTTTTGGCAGGTTTTTGCACTTTTGCTTTCATGGGCGGTGGCGACCCCCCGTGCTTCCATTGTATGAATTATTATTTGGTCTCCGGGTCATAATAGTAAACCCAAGTATCATATCCAACTATTAAAATATGAATCAGGTTCCAGGTTTCATTTGAAAGGGCAAAATTTTCATTACAAAAGTCGACTCGATCCTGTTTTTGAGATGCCGAAAGCAATTTTGGTACCCAACGGGAGGAAGCCATTTTCATACCGAAGTCTTCAGTTAACATGGAACAAATTGTTGGTTTTGGAACACCCATCTCATCTGCTAAATAGGACAGTTTCAATCGCGGATCTCTCATTATTGGTTCATCTAGTTTCCTGAGCCTTTCTGTGGGAGAAACAGATTTTGGGCGTCCTAGCGGCTTTTTGTCCGAGACTTCTTTTCGCCATCATTTGAACTTATTGACCAAATTGAATTTGTGTCTTGTGTTGGGCAGTTTTCATCGTAAATTTTAAGCATTCGATCATAAATCTGCGACACGTATTGCCCCTCCAGCATTAAAAGTTAAATCACACTACGATATTTAATTTGCAAATCTGACATTTTTCCGTCGAGGTAAAGTTTGCTGATTTATTGCTAGTGTTTATGTCAACCTACAAACCTGAAAAAAATCACAGCCTCCTAAATGTATCTGAAGTTTGTTATTTCATCAAAAGTTTGATCACAAACAGTGCGGAACATACCTTTTGAAAATCAATAATAAAACACCTACGTATGTTAATAAAACCAACTTTTCTTGTGGCACTTTGTGTGATGGTCAGAATTTGCCAAAATATTTGAGGTTAAAGTTAAAAAATGTGCAATTTTTAGGACGAGAAGAGAATGGAAGCTGAGTTAGCTACCTCCGCCTGGTTAAAATCGCCAATTTTTCAACCTTAACTTCAAATATTTTGACAAATTCTGACAATCGCACAAAGTGCCTCAAGAAACGATGGTTGTATTGACATGGACCACATAATTTTAAAATTTCAACCAAATCGGAGGGTTACACTTCACACCATCGCAGTGTTAGTAAAGAATTCCTATTTGTGCATAATAATGTATATAAACTCTATGTTAATTCTTGATAATCTTGGAAGAGGTTTGTAAATCTATGTAAGCCTCGCCTGTGAATGGTTTAATTATGCGGCATTTACAATTACAATTACACACTTTTACGTACATTTTACCTAATTAAAACCAATACGTTTCAGAAAAAACTCTGTTCTTCATGAATTTTTGTCAATTTAAATACAAAATATTTATAATTGGTTTATACATAATCCGTGTTCATGAGCATGCCAACTTGTCGCACACCTAGAATTAATGTGATGATAACTTCACGAGCCGAGGAAAGCCTTATCAATCGTGCATAAATAATATACAACTCGCACACAAGCCTCGATAAAAATTATGACGTAATTCGTCCACAAAATGCACTTGGTTATGTTTCATTCAAACTTTTGGTATCTTCCTGCATATATGAACTCGGTTATCGTTTTACTTTCTCGGATTACTGATGCCTCATGAAATTCCACGTGTAGGAAAGTACCTACACGTGGGCACGAAATTTTATTTACTGGTCGTCGCTAAAATTAGCATGCACGTTCGGCATTGCATTGTTCATATACTTCCTTGATTGGTATTGTGGCTCATCTGAAATATTTTAATGGAAAAATATGAGGAACTAGTCGATATAAAGAGGCATCGTCTCCTCACTTAAAATCATTCCGAGATCCAATCAATCCGAAACATTATTCATTTTGACCCCCATTGTTACAAATTTCAATATTTTTTTTAAAGTAAAATTTCATACGATTTTATTCTTAGTTTGAATAGGTAATTACCTATCCAACAAAAACTTTCATAATATTTTCACACAAAGTCAACACATATTTACTAATTTTTTTCAAGTACCAATTTTACGTAAATTGCATTTGCTTACGACACAATTTTGATGATGTGTGATGCGTTTTGATGTTTTGTGTATTTTACTTTCATTTTTTTGACATGTTTGGACTTATATTCTTGTCGTTAATCTACCCCCAAAAAATTATGGAAATGTTTTCCTCTCTGGCCGTTCGTGGGATCATTTTCCTTGAAACGCAACCAACTTCAAAGAAGTCATCGTCATGTGGGTGGGTGCGGCCTTGTAAGAGTTTTAGTTGCGAGAGTGAGGCCCCACAGCAATGTTCCAACTGCGGTGCGACGAATGGATGTGGGTGCAAATAGAAATTCGAAAATTCGAGAATTGAAAATTTAGGAAATTAAACTTATTTAATCATCTCCGCAAGTTTCGACACCTTTCGTATTTTTTTACATGAATGTAATTGTAATTATCGATAGCAGATATTATCATTGTTAACGATTCAATAAATATTAGCATGTACATACATATATCTATAAAATAATTTATAAACAAATCAATAAATAAATTCGCCATAAATTCGCAATAAATTTATAATAATACTAGGATTTTATAATACGAGATATGACGTATTTAGTTTTCAAGGAAAGAAAAATTCGCCACGTGTCAAACTTGAATTAGTTCAAACTATTTAGAAATTCTGGAATGATTTTTCAAATTTTTATATTTATTTTCATGTCGGGTTCTGTGATGAAAACTTGAGCATAATA